CACATGGAATAAGTGTTGAGGGGTTTTAGTAATTGCCTTAACTAAGCTGAAGGTCATAATTGATTTTTGTCTTGTTTATTGAAATAAAATAACAAAATATTGTTAAGGTCCATTATTCCCTAGGAATGCTTTTTGTGTCGCCTTGAAAAGGTGACATATAGGGGTTACTTTTGTCGGCGGTGTCGGCGGCGGCGTCTGTGTCGGCGTCGTTGTCGGTGTCGTTGTCGGCGTCGTTGTCGGCGTCCCCTAAAGCTTGTCCGGAGCATAACTCAGTCACTATAAGTCTGATTGACTTCAAACTTGGTATGCATGCTTCTTTCAATAACCCGAAGTGCAGTGCACAAGGACCGGTACTCTGCAGTTCTTATTTTTTGAGTTATTGCCCTTTGTTAATTTTCATACTTTAATTTTGTCCGGGCCATTTCTCTTCAACTAAAAAAGCTATGGACTTGAAACTTCATAGGATGATAGATCTCATTATTAAGAAGTGCAGTGCACAAGAACTAGTACTCTGCACTTCCTAATTTTTGAGTTATTGCCCTTTGTTAATTTTCATACTTTATTTTTGTCCGGGCCTTTTCTCCTAATGTATAAAAGCCATGGACTTGAAACTTCATAGGATGATAGGTCTCATTAAGAAGAAGTGCAGTGCACAAGAACTGGTACTCTGCATTTCTTATTTTTTGAGTTATTGCCCTTTGTTTATTTTCATACTTTAATTTTGTCCGGGCTATTTCTCCTTAAGTATAAAAACTATGGACTTGAAACTTCATAGGATGATAAATCTCATTATTAAGAAGTGCAGTGCACAAGAATCGGTACTCTGTATTTCTTAATTTTTGAGTTATGGCCCTTTGTTAATTTTCATACTTAATTTTTGTCCAGGCCATTTCTCCGAAAGTATAAAAGTTATGGACTTGAAACTTCATAGGATGATAGATCTCATTAAAAAGAAGTGCAGTGCATAAGAACTGATACTCTACATTTCTTATTTTTGAGTTATTGCCCTTTGTTGATTTTCTTACTTTATTTTTGTCCTGGTCATTTCTCCTCAAGTATGAAAGCTATGGACTTGAAACATCATAGAATGATAGATCTTATTGATAAGAAGTGCAGTGTACAGAAACTGCTGCTCTGCACTTATTATTTTTTAAGTTATTGCCCTTTGTTATTTTCATATTTCATTTTTGTCCTGGCCATTTCCCCTAAACTACATTGTTCACAAGGCGACACATCCGACTCGCGGAGTTCTAGTATATTTTAAAAGTTGTCTTTTTTGAGTGTCCTTTTAAGTTTTCAAAAAGTGAAAGTTAGTGTATAGCAAGCTTATTTACAAGACCCCAGTTGCGATTACAATCAATTGAAATATTTCTTTGTACAAAGTTGATAGTTTGTGTTCAAATTTTTCTTCAGACTACTTTTTTTTCAAAAAGTCAAAGTTGCAGGTGGGGGTATTAATCACCTTCAGGTGTAGTTTTTATCACCATTAAATGATGCTGCCCTGTTATGATCAGAATAGGAGAAATTTTAACAAGTTTTAAGTATTTTATTAAGGATGTTTTGCAATAAGTTTGGTTTGGTTTTAGGTAGCAGTGATTTTAGTGGATAAAGGTAGTGGTAAGGGTAGCAGACAATATTTGATTTAAGTCTTCATCGTCATATCCATCATTCTGGCAATAGCGTTCATTTCAGGCATTTTGTGTTTTATTTCAGTAATTTATAACCTTCGGCTTTTAAGTGAAGACAATTTTTTCCAGGTTGGTAACCAATGGGAAGACTAGTTGACATTTGAGTCAAAATGGAGTATCATTTTATAGAGGGGCTTGAGCTTTTATTGTATTTTACATAAATTTTATGTAATAAGATATAAAAGTTTACAAGTTAGGTCATCAGTGTATATGATTGAGCAGCTTCTTTCTTTTTTCTAAATTGTATTAAAGGTTGAAATACTTGTATGTAAAGATTTACTTTGAATTTAATACTTTACAAAGTGCAATAGAAATGTAAGCATTTTTAAAAAAAAAAATTTTGGAAAATTACATATACTTTAAACTTTCACAAGTGCCGCCACAATAAAAGAATGACTTTAAGATGAAGTTTACCAATGTTTTTTTTGTGCTGAGACTCTTCTAGCTCAAATATTATGCACATCACCAGTGATTTTTTCCCTGTATTTTACAGCCGAATAAAGGCTGTTTCCCCTAGCTCAAAATAGGTATATTTTCCCCTAAAAAAGCAAATTTTTTCCCCTGTAATGCCCCGTGCTCTTTTTCACCAGAACAATTACATAACAGCATCTGACTTATTATATCAGCTAGAAGACATAAAGCTGTCCCTATAGCCTCTGCTATGTACTATGCATGTTAAATTGAATTGAAATCAAAATTTTTATAAAATGTGGGTAAATTCCATTCTCAGTTGTTGGAATTTGATTTTCCCCTTTTCTGATTTATCGCGCAATATTTTCCCCTTCAGAAAGCCACAGGTTGTTTTGAAAATTATTACAGTTTTTCATATTGTGTTCTTTATTATAGTCTCATCAATGTGATACTGTAACTATATAATTATAACATATCATAAATAGATTTTTTTTTCAAGATTTCAAGATTTTCAAAATATTTATTGGCAAAAACATTTTACAATGTCCATCCCCATGTTCGGCGGTTCAATAAACACATAATGAGAAAAGTATGTACATAACGAGAATGAGATAATTATAAATTAATTAGTAAATAGATTTAATAAACCAATCTTTTTAAATCTCTTACCAAACATACAAAGCTTTTATCCTTCCAATTTCTATTCAAAGTACAAAAAAGAAACCCACTAGATAAGTGCATAGAACATAAATATGAGACATGTAAATACATAATATACAATCATTGTGAGAACTGGTGAAGGGTATATTGGAAAATGATATATAGTAATATTTCAATCGCTTTTGAACCTTATGTTCCTTACAAAGACATGTTATACGATAAATAGCATATCAGAAGGAGCTAAGTAGCAACGTAACACGTACAGGTACCTCTTTTCCGAAACAAAATAAAAGGAGTACCATAACATGATAATCAAGTACATGTATATATTTAGATAGCTACAAGAGTACTTGACGTCTGGTTATCACTTGTCAGACAATTTGCTAGAATGACCATTTTATCAGCCTCGTTACTGTTGCCCAACACCAGTTCAGTTAACATTAACAAACTTTAAATAAAAAGCATATTCAACATTATCATAAATAAAAAAAACACATTACTATAGGAGATGTTTTTTCATATGTGATTAATTTTCCAAAATGGCAGACACACAGATGTAGATTATGCTACATTAACCTCTTTCATCTTTTGTGCCTCCAAATAAATTGAGTGCTTTAAATGCTACCTGGTATATGTCCTGTCCTACCAAATAAATGTGTATCAGACATGTTTTCTCTTCATATCATGAGATTGTACTTTTAACTATTGATGTATTTAACAGATGGGTGATCTTGTATTTTAACTATTGATGTATTTAACAAATGGGTGATCTTGTATTTTAACTATTGATGTATTTAACAGATGGGTGATCTTGTATTTTAACTATTGATGTATTTAACGAATGGGTGATCTTGTATTTTAACTATTGATGTATTTAACAGATGGGTGATCTTGTATTTTAACTATTGATGTATTTAACAAATGGGTGATCTTGTATTTTAACTATTGATGTATTTAACAGATGGGTGATCTTGTATTTTAACTATTGATGTATTTAACGAATGGGTGATCTTGTTTTTAACTATTGATGTATTTAACAGATGGGTGATCTTGTATTTTAACTATTGATGTATTTAACAAATGGGTGATCTTGTATTTTAACTATTGATGTATTTAACAAATGGGTGATCTTGTATTTTAACTATTGATGTATTTAACAGATGGGTGATTTTGTATTTTAACTATTGATGTATTTAACAAATGGGTGATCTTGTATTTTAACTATTGATGTATTTAACAGATGGGTGATTTTGTATTTTAACTATTGATGTATTTAACAAATGGGTGATCTTGTATTTTAACTATTGATGTATTTAACAAATGGGTGATCTTGTATTTTAACTATTGATGTATTTAACAAATGGGTGATTTTGTATTTTAACTATTGATGTATTTAACAGATGGGTGATCTTGTATTTTAACTATTGATGTATTTAACAGATGGGTGATCTTGTATTTTAACTATTGATGTATTTAACAAATGGGTGATCTTGTATTTTAACTATTGATGTATTTAACAAATGGGTGATCTTGTATTTTAACTATTGATGTATTTAACAAATGGGTGATCTTGTATTTTAACTATTGATGTATTTAACAGATGGGTGATCTTGTATTTTAACTATTGATGTATTTAACAGATGGGTGATCTTGTATTTTAACTATTGATGTATTTAACAGATGGGTGATCTTGTATTTTAACTATTGATGTATTTAACGAATGGGTGATCTTGTATTTTAACTATTGATGTATTTAACAGATGGGTGATCTTGTATTTTAACTATTGATGTATTTAACAAATGGGTGATCTTGTATTTTAACTATTGATGTATTTAACAAATGGGTGATCTTGTATTTTAACTATTGATGTATTTAACAGATGGGTGATCTTGTATTTTAACTATTGATGTATTTAACAGATGGGTGATCTTGTATTTTAACTATTGATGTATTTAACAGATGGGTGATCTTGTATTTTAACTATTGATGTATTTTAACAGATGGGTGATCTTGTATTTTAACTATTGATGTATTTAACAGATGGGTGATCTTGTATTTTAACTATTGATGTATTTAACAAATGGGTGATCTTGTATTTTAACTATTGATGTATTTAACAGATGGGTGATCTTGTATTTTAACTATTGATGTATTTAACAAATGGGTGATCTTGTATTTTAACTATTGATGTATTTAACAGATGGGTGATCTTGTATTTTAACTATTGATGTATTTAACAGATGGGCAATCTTGTTCTCACACCCGGCTGATTTCACACCAGTATGTACAACAGAGCTGGGTATGGTCAACAAAATGGTGGAAAAATTCAAGGCATTGAATGTCAAGCTGATTGCATTGTCATGTGATGATGTTGATAGTCACTCTGAATGGACAAAGGTAACCTTAAATAAATTCTTTTTTATGCAAAAGCAGCATCTGCGATGTGGTGGCATATAGCGATTCACCTGTGTGAGTGTTTGTATGTATGTGTGTTATATAGATTACATAGTGAACTTGCACCGCCTCCGTGGTCGAGTGGTTAGAGTCGATGACTTCTAATCCATTTACCTCTCTGGCGTGGGTTCGATCCCCGGGAGATGCTTTGGTAGTTTAGCACGGAGGAAGGTAGTCTAGTACTGGTGTAACTCTCCAGGAACGATGGTTAGGAAACTACCCGCCTATATGACTGAAATACTGTTGGAAAAAGGCGTAAAATGACACAAACAAACAAACAAACAAACATAGTGAACTTAAAAAATCTTCTTGTTAAAAACCACTAGTCCAATTTCAACCAAACTTGGCAGGATTGATCCTTGGATGAAGGGCTTCCAAAGTTGTTCAAAGAATTTCATTCCATGCAGAAATCTGGTTGCCATGGCAACCAAAAGGAATTATTAGAATAAATTTCAAAAATCTTCTTGTAAAGATCCACAAGGCCTAGATCATAGATATTTTGCATAAGGCATTGTCTGGTTGACCTCTACCAAGATTCAAAGTAGGATATGTTTTATTTATTCTATGTTGATTACTGCAATAATGCCTGTTGATGACATGAAGTCTCCTTCCAGTAGTGCAGCTGGAATTTTTTTTACGTGTATTACAGAAATCAGATCACAGTTCTTGTGGATACAACATGTGTCTTGTGACTGCCAGCCTGCCTGTTTGTTATTATTATGTCTTTTTACCTTTCTTTCAGGACATTTTAGCCTATACTAAAGATGCCAAATTTGATTTCCCCATCATTGCTGACCCAAAACGTGACCTTGCTGTGCAGTTTGGCATGTTAGACCCAGTGGAGAAGGACTCGAAGGGACTTCCGCTCACCTGCAGGGCTGTAAGTTTTTGAAATATTTACTCTTCTGATGATAATATTATGTCAATTTTACAATCAGTATAAGTACCTAGGCATTCTATATTTTACATGAACAGAGAGATTTCAATATAATTTTGCACAAATGTTCACCTTTGTGAGGCTTAGTGTTGTTCTTTAAGTTCAGGTCCCTGAGGTCAAGGTCACACATAGAGGTAAAGTTTCTGATATAAACAGTAAAAATGTATAGTGCTACGCCCACATCTCTACCTAAAACTTTTGTGACAGGCATAATTTGTAGCAATGTCAGCCTAAGTGTTTTAAGTAGACACTGTAGGATCTCATGTAGTGATGATGACAGATAAATTTTTTTAAACTTGTTAGAACATAGAATGATGAGCCTTTGCCGCTTGAATATAGCCAGTCAAATCTGAACCCGTCCTCTAAACTGTTGGCTAAAATAACTTCAAATGAGCCGTGTCACGACAAAACCAACATAATGGGTTTGCGACCAGCATGGATCCAGACCCACCTGCGCATCTGCGCACTCTGATCAGGAACCATGCTGTTCGCTATCAGTTTCTCTACTTGTAATAGGGTTTGCAAGCCAACAGCATGGATCCTGATCAGACTGCACGGATGCCAGGCTGGTCTTGATCCATGCTGGTCGCAAACACATTACATTATTTTGTTGTGACACGGCTCAAATTTACATCTTGATATTCTTATAAAGTTCTAGATATGGAGGCCAAGTTAATTTAATAAATTCAACAGATTATTGGCTAAATATTGAATCATATTTGATATTTATATTCCAGGTTTTTATTGTTGGTCCAGACTATAAACTGAAGCTGTCAATGTTATACCCGGCTACCACTGGAAGAAATTTTGAGTAAGTTCAGTTTACCATTACAGCTTGTATTTCATGATGGGATGGTAGAAAAAAAATAAATATTGAATGAATATTTTCGATAAGAGCCAATTATGCATGCAAGAATGGTAAAAATTTAATGATTCAGTACTCTTTGAAATCTTTGATATCATAGTACAATTAAAATTTACTGTTTTAATCTCTGGCTGTAGGGAATGCAAGCTTTATCGTTTAGCATACAGATTGTTTATCTTGGAGATTTTATCAATTTGTAATAACATTTAATTTGCTTTAAGGATTATGAAGAGAATGTTAAAGTTTATGAAAAGAATGTTATATTTCTGATAACATATGGTATTTGTATGATTAAAAGTTCTTTGTTCATGGATAGATTTCTTTTGATATGATTGTAATTAAAAGATAATATTTTTAGAAATTGTATAATTGTAATTTCAGTATTTAATGTTGTCAAAAAAAATAATGTTTGTAAATGATAATATGCTATTTAATTATCAAAATGTCTAGAGTGTTTTTTTTGCTTTTGAAATGTTTCTGTTCAAATTTGCGGCCTTATGTACCCCCTAGTTTCAATAAATAATGTTACGCAAATTCCCACCAGAGTCAGAAATAGAAAAAATAATAAGTTCTTTAAAGAAAGCATAATGTTTGTTACTTTTTTGAGCCAGGTATACAAGTCTGAGCAGTCTTGTTAGGCTCAACTGTGATTTAATTTAATGTTGTGGGCATGAAATTTGTGGTTTTGTCACAAACAACATTTTCATGGGTTCTTAAATTGTATGGCAGTTTTCTAAAAGGTAAAATGTAAATGATGTGATGCAAAAATAATCTTACTGCTAATGAAATGAAGTTTCGTTTGATCTTAAATTCATGGATTATATAAAAAATATACGTTTATATAGGGTCATATAACCTGTCAAGAATCTTTATAACTAATAATATAAATGCTAACATAAAAAAATATACTTAAAGGAAAACCAAAACTTGCAATACTGTCAGAGCTACCATGTTACCATTATCGTTCTATTATCTAAATCCTATCTTGTTTCAAGGTTGACCTCTTAATCATGTCACAAAAGATCATATCGCATTAATATTATGATGTCAAAGATCATGTTACATAGCAACCCTTGTTATTTTTACTTTAAATTATCCTGATGTCAGATG